TCTAAAGAGCCAGACTACACTGAAGGCAAAAACATGCCAGGTACCTCGTCACCAATCTGCCATTTTATTCTGACACAAGTGGAAAAACGAAATCGGCAACTATGTCAGTGTATCCAAACCAGCTGTTTTCAAAGTGCCTAACAGCACTCTCTCCTTCTTCAGTGCTACCCTTCTATTACTAGGAAGAAATCCTGTTGAGCACTAGAGTCTTTGTAATGCCACTGATACATTATTTGGCAGCACCCAGTGACTGATGGGTGCTTTGGCTGCAAAGGGAAGACTCTGACTTGGCCCAGGTTTGCTCCATAGTAGGATAAGGAGTTTAAGGCTGCCAGTCCACTAGGCAGAGCTGTTATGCGTTTATGCCTGCATAGGGCAGAGTCTCACCTAAATTCAGTTTCTGTATGTTTTTGCTATGCTATCACAGTGTTAGTTTTATGCCCTAACTCAACAAGATCAACTCAGTAATTTTTCAGCAGTATGATGAAGGTCAGAAGAAACTGAAGAGAGCAGCAGAGTTTCCTGTCTGAAGAAGGAGATCAGCTCACATAATTTCCCCAACAAACCCAGCTGTATGGTACTGCCATTGGCATACTGTCATGCTGTTACAGGCATGAGCAAGTCCATTACAGTTTGCTACATTCCTTAAGAAAACAAAAGCTCAGGAAGGAGACTGTTGCTCTGGTCCTTTGCTTGAATTCCACAGTGCTATTTATGACCTCAGTATTTTCTCCACAGTTAGTCGTGGTATCTAAAATGGCAAGTTGAGGTCTGTAGAAAATCAGAAATTGAAAAATCAGAAATGGAATAGTTTGTGTATTTATATTACACCAAGTTCATTATAAAGATGGCTATGTATTATTATTTACATTTTTATAGATGAGGGAATTGAAGTAAGAGTAATTTTTTAAGCAAAAGGATAAAAAATAGAACCTTAGGCCTGCCTAGATTGAAACAGATCAACTTTGGAGACTTCATTACTTTAAAGTGGACTAAATCAAAATCTTTGGCTTACCCAATCCAATTTAACTTCATACAGCTATTTAATATTAATCTTCCCAAGTGTCTGTGTAGAAAAACCCTAGTTCTTGCATCTGTTTTAACTCGAGAGCATGCAGGCCTTAGTAACACGTTGCAAGCTATAGTTCTCTCTTGCAAAACCAGGTAAAAGTGAACAGCAGAAACAAAGCTATTTTTAATACAGCGTCTTTCCTTAAGTATTTTCCATGAGCCTCTCTTGTATATCCTTATCCTAAGCATTCACCACTGGGAATACAATAATAATTTGCAGAAGAAATTTATGTGGATAAATACTGTAGAAATGCGCAGAATACTCAATTTGTTAATGCAAACCTTTTCTGACAAGCTTTTATTAATTTCTAATTTTTGTTAGATTTAATAAAGCAGCTAAATTTGTATTCCCTTTTAAGTCTTCGGCTTTTTGTTGTTTTTGTTTGTTTGTTTGTTTGTTTGTTTTCATCCATTTATGGTTTACTTTAAAATATGGCTCCAGACTGCTTATCTTTACATTTATCGCCATTTGTAGTTCAGCTAGAACTTTGAGTAATGTTTATTACATTTTTTTGGCAAACATAATTGCAACTTCAGTCACATTAAAACATTTTTAAATGTTCTTAATGTTTACTATTTACAGTATTAAAAATCTTAAATACGCTTACACATTTGAAATTATTACCTACTTACTATTCTCAGACATGATGACTAAACCCTTTATCAGTCAAGTTTGCTAAAGTAATTTTCTCATGTTCATTATATTTCTCCTCTAGAGAAGGATATCCTGGAAACTGCCTTTGATAGTCCTGCACATGAGACAAATAAAGGTCAGAAGTCATTGCAACAAAGTTCCTCTGGTTCAGAGCAGAAAAAAATTGTGAGAACAAGCTGTTCATCCAAAGATATAGACAGTGACATGTCAAAGAACTCGTGCACTACTGGGAGTGACTGGAGCTCAGATGAGGATGGAGGAGACAATAAAGGACTGAAATCCAGGTGTGCATCGACTCTTTCAAGCCACACATCTGAAGAGAATGCAAGGTACAGTAGAGTGGGAAGTGAAATGTATTTGACAGCATCTGATGACAGTAGTTCTCTATTTGAAGAAGAGAGTTTTGGTGTTAAGAGGACTCAGCAAAAGAAGTTATACTCCTGGCAGCAAGGATCCCAAAGAAAAGGCCAGAACAATCCAGGTGGAAAGTGCAACTCTGACTTCACAAGTAAAAAGAAAGACCAAGATAGTTCTTCAGATGAACTGAATAAGAAATTTCAATCTCAGAGGCTAGATTATTCATCCTCATCCAGTGAAACAAATACCCCAAGTCCAATTTTAACCCCTGCTCTGACACCCAGACACCCAATTCTAGCATCTTCTGCAGGTCCTCAATGCACAACTCCATCAAATTCTCCCTCAAATTTGCCACCTCCAAAGTTACGGACTCCTAATGTTTTTAGTCTGAATTCACCGTTAGCAAAGAAACATCTAAGTCAGCCCCAGCTGAGTTCTGACAGAATGTTTGGTAGAAATAGAAATGCCATAAGCATGATACGTCCATGGAGGCCTCAGGAAACAGACATAGATCTGGTGGAGGGAGAAGATACTGATATTTTAGAGAAAATGGAGATTGGCTGTGATGAAGGAGTGTTTACTTATGACTGCACTGAAGCACAAAATGCTGAAGTCCAGGAACCTTGTGAAATGACAAAAAAGGGTGCTAGCAACAAACCTCCAACCCCTCCATTACATCGATTTCCTTCCTGGGTAAGTGTGATTATGGATATTTTTCCTACTGGTGAAGCTAACTTATTTTCATGCCTCTATTCTAAGATTTTTATTGCCTCATATTTTTCTTATTCTCTGCTTAATGATAAACTGGGTGTTACCTTAAGCGGAATTAACTCTACAAACTCAGAAGCACGTTTTATTTTAAGCACAGTATTTCTGCCATTGAATAAGTCACTATTTTGTAGATAAGACCAATTTTTTTCACATCACATCTAAGTTGCATATGTCCTTTTGAGTGTGTGTATCAAAGGATGTAATGCTTGTGATTGCATTTATTTATTTATCTGAATGCCAACACAGCCTAAGAATGCTGGTGTCAGTGCCCTTGCTGTAACCACTCTACCACTCACAGTCTAGACAATTAGGTTGACAGAAGACAGCTACAGAAGTTACTGATCACATTTCCACATAAAATTTTAAAGCCATCAGTCAGGATATGAAAATAGATATTAATAAGTCTTACAGAAAATCCAAAATTAACTGTGTCAAGACTCACTGATTCTGTGGTTCCAGTGTCAAGAGATTTATTAATGATTCAGAGATGAATAATGCATTAATGTAACAGCTTTTCTATGTATATATTTTAGTGCATTTTTTTCATTATAGATTTTCTTATCGTAGTCATCTAACACAAAATGGTTGAAAAACTGTCTTTTAATGGCATTTCTCTGTTCTTAACACAATCTTTCATTAAAAAACATTCTCGGTATAGCTTCTTTGGCACCCAATAAGAGTATTTTTAAAAGTAAGTTACCTACAGGGCAATGTTGAAACAGACTATGAATATGATGGGGATGGCATATAAAAGAAGGATGCATTTTTCAGCTGCTGTTGATGATGTCATTTTGTGAACCATTTTAGCATATAGTTGCACTGGCACAAAGACTAGGAGGCTAAACAGAAGAAAGGTAATTGTTGTGTTTTAATTATCTACCATCAAATCCATTCTGCTTGTATAGGAAAGCAGAATTTATGCTGTAGCCAAATCTGGTTTAAGGATGTCTGAAGCTTTCTCCCTGGAATCTCGTAATAAAAGTAAGTGGTTTAGTTGTTCATTGTCTCATCAAAAAAAATTCTATTCTTATGGTGATGTGTAAGCAAGGACTTCTAAAATAATTTTATGAAGATTTAGTTATCAGCTATTTAAAACCTAGAAGATTATTGGTTATTTTTCCATAGTCCACCTTACCTCTTGATTTTGTGCTGAATTTATACATCATTCACTCCAGTTTACTTTGCAATTCTTTTTGAAGATTCTATAACAGGTACCAAGATAAGAGCTTATACTTCCAATTTAAAAAAGGTTTGTGTTCATGACTGCAATTTTAATTATGCTTCTTAAAACCATTGTAAATTTTAAAAAGTTATAAATCTCCCATCTAAAACAGTTCGGGAGTTAGTTTGCTTTTTATAGCAGTTAAACAACACCAAAAAAAATTACATTTGAATTTGGTTAATTGAGGGGTAAATTAAGAAGATCATTTATAGAATATGTTGCTTTTTTAGGTGCTGTTTCACTAACTTCATGCTCCATATCCGGATTATATACATCTCTGATATATAAGAACATGACCACTCCTGTCTATACCACTTTGAAAGGGGTAACTGTATTACTGTTTAAAGGAAATTTTTAAATACTATTGGGCTTCACATCCAGGAACTTCCTGTTTTACATTTAATACTACCATGACAAATATGTTGTAAGTTGATGTTTAGAGATCACAGAACCCCAGAAGTAATAGAAATGGCAAATAGCTGGGGAAAAAAATACTGCTTATGGAATGTTACTAGCCTAGGTCAGTTCTTCTTAGGTTCCTTGCTGATTTTTTCCAAAGACTTGCTAATTATTAAACAGAACCACATGGTGTTCAGTGTCATAATTAAAAGCATGTGTATGTAGAAATTCTTTGTGTCAGTGCCAAAGCTGTTTCTAGTCACATAACCAGCAGTAAGTAATCACAGCATTGTTTGTTTCTGACAGTCTTTTGTGCTTTGGAAAGACCCATGCCTTGAGCTACCTCAGGTTTCTGTTTTGAAGTGTGGGTGTGTTTGAGCGTACAGTCGGCAGAGGGAATTCAGTTTCGTGTTAATATTTGTGTGCCAAAACTCACAACCTGAGCAAGAAACAGCTTTGAATATTATGAAGCCAAAAGAGTTCTGCCACAGTATGAAGGAAATGACTGATACCCTTTATGCAAGATATCAAAGAATGTTGTGTTCATTTATGCAGAAAGCAACTCAAATAAGCAACAGCCCATTTATAGATGAGTCATCGGGATCAGAGGAAGAAGACAGCTCTCGGTCCAGCTCAAGGACTTCCGAGTCTGATTCTCGAAGCAGAAGTGGTCCAGGTAGTCCTCGGGCTATGAAACGAGGTAGGCAAAACCATAAGACAGGTAACTTCTGGGAAGTTTGGAAAACTAGGCAGTTTACATGATCTTCTTAGAAACTGATTTCTTCCTTAAACAGTGTGGACATCTTAAATCTAGGCTTTTATCTCAGCTCTCAAAGCCTAGATCTAATATTCAAGCAGGAGAAAGGACTGTTACGCATGGCTTTTTTTTATTGCTGTTGTTATAGATGTCTTTTTAAGGCATTAATCTGGTAGCTGGCTGTTGTCGGGGGAAAAGTGACTTGTACATTTAAAGCAAGAAACACCATTCTCTCTGTACTCTGTCATGCCAAGGGCTTCCTGTGATCTTTAACTGTAGATAAGTAAAAACTATGTAGAAAAAAACTAATTGCCATCAGAAAAAAACCCCACATATATTCGAGTTTATAAAACAATTTTCACGTCATCAGAAAGCAGGTGGAAAAGTTTCCTTATCAAATTATTTGGTTCTGTCACTTCATGTAATAAGACACTTCTTCCGTTTTTACAGTGATTGTCTCAAGGTCCCATGCAAAGATTTAGTTAAAATACTTGAATCCAGTAATGTGCTCTGTTTTGTGGAAGACAAATCTCACAGTTCTGGGTAACTGTGTGTTTTCCATCTGCAGAATGGAAATAATGTGCTTCATTACATTGAAAGATACAGTGCTTCCTCATGGGGTGACATTATCAGTGTTATATCCCTGCAAGTATTTCTTCACTGGGTGAACCAAGGGAGACTTAAGATTCCTGTAAGGCCAAATGTTAAGACCATCCACTATAGAAATGTAAAATAACACGATTCAGTAGTCTGTATTATACATGTAAAAATCCCAGTTAGCAGGAGCTCCATTCAGCTAGCCTGGAGCAGGTTGACAGAGCCACTGGTCCAGTTGGAGTTTCCCAGTGCCAGCCCCATGTGGAGTCCGGTCCTGTTTCCAGTGATGCAGTTAAAGTTTTGCTACATTAATGTGAAAAGGACCCGTAGTTCCTGCTTCTCAGCAGCTCCATCTTGCTGAGTGAAAACCAGTGTCATGGCTGCAGACACATCTTGTGTTACATGCTCACACAACAGGAAAGCCAAATTGGGTAATTTAAAATCTGGTTTCACCTACAATTTATATCCATGCCTGTAAAGTGGAACCATTCCTTTTGTTCATGCTTTCTTCCCATAAAACTGTCCTTTCATTGTTTCATGTGTGGAAACCTTTCTTAACCACAAAACATATATGTACTTGTCTTTGTTGAAATCACATTTTTAAAAATCTAGGTAGTCACACATTTCACCAGAAGCATAATTAACTTGCTGCATTTTTGTTGTTAAAGATCCTACATGAGAAGTACCACTCTGAAAGCCCAGGTGCTTACAAAGCAATAAATGAGAAAAGCTTTGTTTTTAAAATAAAATTGGCAAATTAGTTTGGAAGTTATTGAAACAAAGGAAACAAGGCCTCTTCATTTCAATATTGGAGAGTATAACCTTGCAAAGTAAAAACATTAGTCCTTACAAAAGGACATATTCACATGTATGAAAATATTTCTATGATGAGTGAGGGAGAGGTTTGAACTTTTATTGCTGTTTCACTAGAATTGAAAGCAGTGTGCATTTTTTCAACAGTAAAGCTAATAAACACTAAAAACCACCTGAAATCTGGAATTCAAATTTTTAGAAAACTCAGGATAAAAATTCATACTCATTCCAAAATACAGTCACCTACAGCTTCAACACATATCAGATCTTGAGCATGGCTTTTTAGTACGTAAGCAGTTGCATAAGAAATCCAGATACTAGAGCGAATGATAGAAAGAGGAGGGGGAAAGCTGCTTAGTTTAATTAAAGATCCTGTTTGCATTTTCTAGAGAGTGAGTATGATGCATAGCACTAATTCCCACCTTAAAATAGCTGTGGTAATATAAAAGATCATAATATATAGAAGACATTTATTTGTTATTTCAATCACAAGGGACTAATACTGTTTAATTATGAATGAGAATCAGATATTAGCACTGTGCTAATAGTTCAGTGTGCTGATATTTTAAAAAGTCCTTGGTTCCTGATAGATTTCTGTTGATACTTGTGTTTGCCTGCAGATCCTATTCAGATATTCTTTCTGCATGGCTGTTCTGACCTCAGTTGTTTCTAGTGTAATAAAAAAATATATAAAGAATTATCTTTCTTCATTTACCGCAGGTGCGTCTCTGTCTTCTGTGACCTCGGAAAGCGACTATGCTATTCCTCCAGATGCATATTCAGTAGATACAGACTATTCAGAGCCAGAGCAGAAACTTCCTAAGACCTCGTCCTCATCTAGTGATAATGGAAAAAATGTGAGTACTGAAGTTCTGGGAAGAAGTCCACCCGTGGTACTGTATGTATATTTATATCTTTATATTCAATCTTGTTGACTCACGGACTGCCTTATGAGTACAAATAGCAAAATATACCAACATCAAGTTAACTATATAAGACTGTAATTACTGAAGGAAAATGGAGGGTAATTGTGAGCTTTCTATTATAATAAAGGAAAATAGGTTGACGACTCCAGAAAAGAATTCAAAGTATTTAAGATTTCCTTTCTCGGAACCAAGTCTGGTATCAGATTGCATATGAAAAACTAAAAGCAGATTAAAATTATTATTTAAATATTCAGGGAAGTAGAAGGGTATTCCAAGAAGGAGGTGAGGTTATCAGTGGAAATCAAAGAAATCATAAGTAGCATAAGATGCAAGGACAGGTCAAAGAAACCAAACCATTACGGGGTATTGGTCAGTCCCCAGGAGTTTTAAGTTGCTTCTGTTAGTAGTTAGTGCCTTAACATACAAGTGGATTGACTACCTGGTGATGAAAATTATTTTAAGCTTTCTTCACAGAGCAAAAACTGTGAACTCTGTTCTACAGGTATACATACCAAAAGTTTGTCTGCGAGGAGCTCTGAATTACAGTGCTCTTTATCTGGTCTGCAGGTTAGGCCCTGAAGTTGGGAAAAAACATATATTTATTTTATATTCATTTTGTTCCTTCTTTAATATAAGTAATTAGAAAGTAAAATCAGAAATCATCATAATCTTTATTCTTTTGTATAGTTTGGGGCAAATCATGTACTACAACTGTAAATAGGGATGTTAATTAGTTACCCCACGTGCACAGCATTTGTGTTAATTGATGCTTGTAAAATTTTTGTTGTTGGACTAAAAGTCTCATCATATACTGTAATTATTATTTAGCATTCTTTTAAGTCATTACTATATCTGTGTGTGTTTTTACATATTTCTGAGGGATATAGGTATATATGTGTATCTAACTACTTTTTATCTAACTTCTAAACAATCAGGAACCTTTGGAAAAATCTGGATATCTGTTAAAAATGGGTGGTAAAGTAAAGACCTGGAAACGACGGTGGTTTGTCCTTAAAGGAGGTGAATTACTATATTACAAATCTCCAGTAAGTACATGTAACTTATCTGCTATTTGATATTAGATTTTTTTTAACTGAGAATATAGGGCTAGTGTCTGAGCTGTTAGAGAGTTATTCAGGACTCATTTCCTCAAAAGGTGTACAAGGTACTGAATGCCTAACTAGGAAATATTTATTCAGATTAATGTTTAAACGAGCTGTATAATTATTTATTGCTATTTGTTGGTAGGTTTAAAATACTCTTTTTCCATTCTTTCTGTACAGAGTGATGTCATTCGAAAACCTCAAGGTCAGATTGAGCTAAATGCATCTAGCCATATTGAAAGGGGTGATGGAAAACAAACAATTCAGGTGCCTTCTTTTTTCCTGTGCTTTCGGTATTCCCTCCATCCCCAGAACCAACTCGTTGTTCCAGTCCCTATTGCACTGGAAGTCCAAGTGTGGACTTGGAATTAAATAATAAGTGCCCTTCATTTGAAACCAAAGAATCATCAGTTACAGAAAATATAAAAAGGCCTACATGGAGTCTTGTTTGTATTGCTACAAAGGTCAGTCATCACATATAAGATAAAAACAAAGAGAGTAATCTTGGGGCCAGCCATTGAGGTTGAGAAAAGTCATTTATCTGGAAGGAGATAAACTGAGTTTTCTCAGCTTGGTGTCCTGGAATTTTTCAGATAAAGACTTAGAAAGGGTCTGTCTGCTCTGCTTGGCTATGGAATGTTTCATTAATGAAAAGTGTTTTGGGGAAAATAAACCCCCCAAAGCTGTGAAACTACATGGGGTAGTATATGTTACAACCCCATCACTGTGGGGTCAAATGTATAAAGTTCTTGAAGCTCAAGACTCTTCTGTTACTACATAGCTGACCACAGAAAAACGAACATACTACCTGACTGCAGATTCTCCCAACATCTTAGAAGAATGGATCAAAGTACTACAGAATGTTCTTAAAATACAGGCTGCCAGCCCACTCTTCATAAAGTCTGAAATCAAGCCAACCATGAAAGGATTACTTACAAAGGTAGAAAAATTCTTCTTCCCCCAACCTGCTTTATTCCATATTTCTTAATAACAATAGCCAGATAAGAATGGCCCTACAATAAAACAAACACAAGTAAAACAGACGTGTGTTTGCTTCCTCAGTACTTTACAATGTGAACAATCCAGAAGGACTACCAACTCACCTACTTTGGGCAATTTGTTTTTTTCTAGTTACTTGATTTGATTTGTTTTTGTCTTTGTCTTTTTAAGTCATTAGTTCCTGTATTGAGCTCTCCCTTTGCACTTCAGTGGTGTCCTAGTTCAGAGTATGTTTCAGTAGCTAGTTTACCAACCTGATTTCAGTGGAGTGCTCTCTTTTTCTGTGTTTATTCACTGTGACAGATTATTTCCTTAGCTTCCCTTACTTTAGGCCTGATTCAAAGTCACATGAAAAACACTGGCCTTAGGAGGTTTTAGATTAACATCTCATCTAATACTTTGATTTTTATGCCCTTAATAGAGTTATGAAGTTTTAATTTTTTGTCTAGCAATTGGGAAAAGAATTTGAACCGAGGCATTTATTCCCAGTATTGCCAAAGTTCAGAGATGGTGAAAACTAGTCTATATTTCTCTGGCCGTGCTTGTTCCTAATGTTCCGTAATTACAGGTGAAACATGGATATTCCAAAAGAGTTTGGTGTACCCTAGTTGGAAAAGTTCTGTATTATTTCCGTAATCAAGAAGACAAGGTAGGTCCCTTACTTGTTTCTTCAATGAATGTAGACTTTAAACAGTAACTTACAGCTTTATTAAGGTACAATTGCCCTAGGCATTGTGCACAGATTTTCAACTTGGAAGGTTCATATCTAATTGCTACTAATCCAGGGCACACCCTTCGGTCTCCTTCTACAGGACATGATACATGTTCTGCATCTCATCCCCAGCTGAAGGGGGAGACTGATTTGCTGACAGTTCAGGTGTCCCTTTCTGACAGGCATGAGACTCATTAGAAAAGTCCTAGCTGTCATGTACTTCTGGAAAGAGGCCCTTTCTAATATATGTTTGCAGGGGGAAGTGACTGCAGATTTGAAGAATTTAAATCTTCTTTTTATCCCTCAGTTGACTTCCAAATCCTGCTCTTTGGTATGTCACTGTACCTCCATAGTGGTGCAAGAGCTAGGACACTGGCTAGTCATAATTTTCACCTGTCCCTTTGCTCCCAAGGCATTGTATTTTGTCAAGAAACATCTTTTTAATGGAGGTGGATGAGAAACAAGATTTTGGAACAGTCCACTGAGCCATTATAACTAACAGTTAAAAAAATACCCAGAAAGTTTCATTTTTTTTACTTCTGTCCTAAGCAAATAATCACAATGGAGCCAGTAATTAATAGCTTTTATGTAGAGCTAGTTATTCCCTTTGTCATCTTTTCCATTTCTAGCCATTTTTAAACATTCAACTAAACCTTATTTCAAGAACTATATGAAAAAGATAGCAGTAACCATCCATTAAAACATTTTATTTAAATTAAAACAATGTAATACAGGATTCAGGAATCACCAGACTAGAGTATCAATCTCTAGCTCATCCTAAAGAGACATTAAAATTAACTTGCAATTTCTCCTATGGATAAATCTGTGAATTTACACATTTTTACCATTGAAGATTTTGGAATTATAGCATGCCCTTTAGAAGCATTTAAGAATTTTGCTGGATTCTTGTGAATTTCCCTCACATTTGGTAGAAGTTTTGCTGCCCTTTTAAAGTAAAATTGAAACTAATTTGCTAAATTGTAATAAAATAAGGATTTAGCTTTTGTAAGCAGAATACGTATGAAAAAATTTCCAAAGCTAGTTCATTTCTAATGTTCAACAATTTGCTAATTAAGAACATACTTTCTGTAGCTGAATGTGTCTGTGCAGAAATAAATTACACAATCTGCAGTGGTTAATACAGTAATGGAGTCCATTTAAAAGGCTTCCTTTCAAAATGGAATTCAAATTAAAAAATGAGCCAACTGTGTTTTAGTTATACTTGGTGAATAAATCAATCTTGACTACTTATATGTGAAATGACATCTTTTGATTCTCAGAATCTTATCTTGTTCAAAAATTTGAATGCTTCAGAAGCACTACAGAAAATACAAATCAGCACATGTATCTTTAATCCTCACTAGTGAAGGCACTGGAGCTAAGGGCCACCACTCTGTGATGTTTTCTTCAAATGACAGTATTATTAACAGCTCATTGTATTAAATTGCTATTCAGGAATCCCACCCCAGATTGAGTAAAACTTGCCAGCTACCCTTCAGTATGGTATTTTCAATTTTTAAAGAATATTTTTGGGAAGCCTCATCTACTTTTCACTGGCGCTGTGATTTCAAGACAACTTACTTCAGTAACCAAAGCTTCTTCACTGCACCATTAAATAACATTCTTTTGAACATCCTCATGTCTGAATGGCTAGAGAAAGAACAGTGGGGCTGTGAGAAAGGAGGGAGCTTGGCATAAAGTAGCCAGGAAGACTGTCAGCCTCTGTCAGTACTGTCACCTAATTGTGAAGATTTCATGCTGTATTTATGTTCGTAGTGGCTTCCTGTTGTTAATGGCTATGAAATAATTACTTCTGTGAGAATTTCCACTTGAATGGCTTTTTTAATGTAAAACATTTCCTGATAAATGATGCAAACTACATAAACAACTTAACATGGAAGTACTGTGATCTATCAGACTGGAGAATGAAACCAGCTGGAAGGTCTACCACACAAAAAATTTACCTTCTGAATTTGTAGCATGAACAAAACAGATACATCAATAATACATTCATTACTGCACTCTGAAATAACAAGATCATAATTAAAGTTCTGGGCTTGATGCAGGGAATTTTTGCTTGGAACCAGATCTGGAAACTCTGAAGAATGACTTCTCTCACCCTAACAGACCTTTATTCCATTACTTATGTACAGAGGCAGAAAAGAATTTTTGAAAATCTCACCTTCAGACTTTGGCACGTCATTCTCCTTTTGCTTTCTGCAATAGATGGTGTATCTGACATTCCTTGGCAAGACTGAAAATGAACAAATACAAATAAGTATTGATGGTAGTTCATGTTTTTCCTTCTATTTGCAGAATAAGAAAAAATTGTATATAATAATAAATACAATAAAATATAAAATCAGAGTGCACTGAAGTGAGTATTACCTCTCTCACCACTTGTGATATTTACTTTTAGTTTCCTCTTGGCCAAATCAAGCTTTTTGAGGCAAAGGTTGAAGAAGTTGATAGATCCTGTGATTCTGATGAAGATTATGAAGCTAGTGGTCGCAGTTTATTATCAACCCATTACACTGTTGTTATCCACCCCAAAGACCAAGGACCCACCTATCTTCTTATAGGATCCAAACATGAGAAGGTAGTAAACGGACATTTCTATTGGGTTTCAGTAACACATTTATGGATATGGTGCTGTGATATAAATATTTCTTGAGGAGGAAGAAGGGGACCTACAAGTCATCTGGCTTGTAGTTTGATGTAATAAGCAAGGAGAAGGTTCTGATTTTTTAACATCGATCAAAATTTGTCTGCAAATCAATGCTGTTGTGGGTAAACCTTGTTAAAATAGACAAAAATAAGCAGGCTTGCCTATATAAGTAGATGGTGTTGAATATCATATATGCTGTAACTGGAGAATTTTGCTCACATACACTAACTTGTAGACAGACCTGTAGCTGACCTTCCTGAGAGGTTTTAGGGTACTTGTATCCATTTTCACTGAAAAGATTAACAGTAGCAAAGACTGCCCTACCTAAGTGAAGGAGCAATGAGGGGTGTGGTTAAAACCATTTTTATTATCATTGCTTCATTGTTCTCAAGTAATCTTGTAGACCTTGGTTTGCTTTCTGGCCTTATCCCCAGGTTAGCAGGATCTGGCAGTGATAAAAAGACACTTATGTAAGATTTTGGAAGAGGAAAGGAAGAATGCTCTGATAATTAGATATGATTTCTGAGGGTAAAAACTTATGAAGAGTGCCCTGTCCGATCTTCCTGGCTTAATGTTTGTAGCGTAGAGACAATGAATACATATGTATTCAACCAAAGGCAAACTCCTTTGGGCTTCAAAGGGAGCACATGATAGTGTTTGAACTTGGGAGCAAAATCCTGACGAAGCAGCTCCTTCCAACATGGAATGAGGGAACTGCTGTGTTTTTCTGCTTTAGGACACATGGCTTTATCATCTGACAGTTGCAGCTGGAAGTACCAGTGTAAATGTTGGATCTGAGTTTGAACAACTTCTTTGCAAATTATTAAATGTGGAAGGAGATACCAGTAAGTTTGTTTTTATTTCAACATCCTAATCTTCTAGTGCTTTTTTACTGAATGTACCTATGTATTGAACTAATTGCAAAACCTATATATTTTATCCTTTTAGCTTCTCAGATTTGGAGACATCCTACCCTTTGCCATAGCAAAGAAGGAATTACTTCCCCTCTTACAACATTGCCATCAGAAGCCTTGCAAACTGAAGCAATCAAATTATTCAAGGTAAAACCATAGCAGATGCCTTTTTTATTAACTGACTATTTTAGCTAAAGAATGGCTATTAGCTGGCTTACTAGAAATGTTCAACAGATAAGAAAAAAGCAAAGAGAAGTTTACTTTTATCTTTAGTGGAGGTAACTAATGGACAGCAGCAGAATGGCCTCATATTATCTCACCAAAGACTATCACTTCCAATGTAAAGAGATCGCTTTTGGTTGTGAGGAGCAGTTTAGGCTTCAACTTCTGGATTTCCTACTTATTTGGTAAGTTATTGATAAATTGCAAGTTACTAGAAAAATCCATGGCCATCATGAATGATAAAATTTTGTCTTGAGGTTCATAGGTCCAAAGAATGTACCAGCTTTGAGAATTGACAGATCTCTGCATTCAGAAAACTGTAGCTGAAATACCGTTGCTTTAATTAAAGTCTGGAGGAAAAAATACTAGGCGAAAGTTTTGTCATAGATACATGTAAATCATCTGGGAGACATTTTAATAACCAGAAGAAAAAGCAAAATTTAAGTTTAAGCACGTTATAGAGTACTTCAAATTGAGGTAGAAAACAGACATCGTACTGCTCTTTTTAAAAAAAAAAAATATTTTCCTATGAAGTAGCTATTCTTAAAAGATGGATCAGATATTCAGTAATATAAATGGAGAAAATATTCCAGAGCAAAATTATGAAAAGTGTTTCACAACGTTTTTTTGAATCCACTTTTAAAGATTTTTATACACCTTTAAAAATATACATATGTATATGTCCCAGGAGTAGTGAAAAGGCTTTTTGACTAGGAGACACATAACAGATCATAACTGCTGAGCCACAGCTAGTTTCTTGAAAAATTTTGTCTGCCGCTAAGACCTTACATCTTTCCCAGTTAAAGGCCAGGAAAGTGAGAGTATTATGCTGCAATGCCTTTAACCTTCTTTCAGGCTATAAAGTCTGTTTCAGAGACAAAATAAAATTTTGCTGTTCCTTTTTCTGTATGTCGTGAAAGAAGTTACAAGTTGGAAGGCATGGAGCTTGGATAAATGAATTTTCTCCACAAAACTTGAACAAGTCTAAAGACCAAATTCCCTGAAGCATCAAATATCTGGGGAATTCTAATGTAATGGTTCAGATCTAGAAAGGAATTCAAGACAAGCATTGTATGTTTAGTCATGGCCACTTGTAGGCAAACTTTCCAGATGGTTTCTCTGAAATGTTTGAAACACTTTAAAGAAGTACATCCATCTTACTTTCTGCAATCCTGCAGCATGAAAGTTTAAAAGGAAATGTACTTATTTGATAAAAACAAATGTACATTTATTTGTAAATCACTTTTCAGACCTAGTTCAAATCACAGACACTTACCTAAAATAAATAAATAAGAGATTGCTTGTATGACCTTTACAGAAACTTCATATAAATCAGTTTAAAAGTTAGATAGGGAATTTATTTAGAAACAGTCATGTTTTGGTTATTCAATTGCTGATAAAAATTAGTCTGTGTGAAAATCCACATATTTTCACATAGACTAGAAACAGATCAGGCTTCCATCCATTTTTCCTTATATCCTTTGAAAATTCCATCAACTGTTATACAGAGTAAATGCAATAATGCTTTCTTCTAATACACCACAACAAATGCTTAACACATGGCTTTCCTGAGACAGTACTGGGGATAGGAGAGGTCATACTTACCCACAGTAAAAATACCAGGGAAAGCCAAGATGTAAATCAATGGCTCTGAGTTATGGTTTTCTTATCTGTGTATATTCTGCAGTGTTGTGCTCACTACTTGCACGAGCATTTTACATTATCTGCCATTGAGAGCTGTAGACTTTGCATTTCCAAGTCCTGTAGAGGGTCTGCTTTGTTCAGCACGTCCTTAAACTTGCATACCACTACAACTGTTGCAACTCCTGGTAATAGTTCACTCCATTAGATGCAGAGTGAAAAGCATGGGTTCTAGGAGGTGTTTTTATCTTAAGTCTCACTACATAGCTTTTTACTCCTTTTTTGCAGAACCAGCAGGGTTTCTTTAGTCTAGTGGTAGACTTACTGTGACTTCAATTAAAGCACACTTTTGTTATACAGAACATCTTAAAGATTTGTTGGAGCTTTTTGTATGTAAACTCACTTGCTTATTATTTTATATCTAGACCTGCCAGTTGTTTATAAATGCTGCAGTTGACTCTCCTGCCATTGATTACCATGTATCTTTGGCCCAAAGTGCTTTGCAGATCTGCCTCACACATCCTGAACTTCAAAATGAGATCTGTTGCCAGCTTATTAAACAGACTAGACGTCGACATCCACAAAACCAGGCAGGACCAATACAGGTAACCCAGGATTTATTTTAATGGTATCGATTTCAGCAGCAATAAAGGAACTACACAGACTTCTTAGAATGGTAAAGAGGCTATGCTCTTCTGTAGCATCTGCTTACTTAAACTTGGATAAAAAGCTGAGCTAATATCTTAATTACTGCTGTGTCTTCCTGAAACAAAGCTGATGCTATCCTCCAACAAAATACCTGTATCTGGTGGTAGAGTATATCTCTGCCTGTGCTGTTTTTAAAGAGTGGACATAAAATGGGCTGTCTTCAAGTTAAGTGGTAAGTAAGACATCATGTATGAAACCTTTTTCTTAATTCTCTTTTACTGCTTCTTTCCTAAGAGAGATGCTGCATCAGGAAGCTTGGTGGGCTAAATCACCTGGCTTAACAGCATGAGTGTGAAGAGAAGCTGCAGTGCCATGTTGTGGAATTTCAGATATGCTCAGGGCTTCTGATGGATATCACCTCTTGTATGCCATGCTGTTCTGCATGCACCCTGCATGCTAGGTTATAAATGCATACTTAAAATTCTTTACTTTGTCCACTGCCGGCTGTTCACTGATATCCAGATAGGTGACAATGAAATGAACTGAAATTGAAAGGAAAGCCAATATTAAAGAGTTTGCATAAAATTAACAGAACTGGAACAATTGTGCTTATGGTGGAGCAGTATCTACAGAACTAGGAGATGGATCAGAAAATGTTACCATATTAAGGCTTCTGTAATAGTCATGTTTTTCTCTTGCCACAGAAAGTAGAACGTGACCAACAGACATACCTAGTATCTAGAAACAGCCCATAATCTGATATGTGGTGAGACACTGGAACAGGTTGCCCAGAGGAGCTGTGGATGTTCCATTTCTGGAAGTGTTCAACACCAGGTTGAATTGAGCTTGGAGCAGCCTGGTATAGAGGAAGGTGTCCCTGCCTATGGCAGGGGTATTGGAACAATATTATTTTTAAGATCCCTTCCAACCCAAGCCATTCTGTGATTCAATTTGTGCATCACAAAACATTCACAAAGATTTTATAGCAGACATAGCACATTCATGTCAATTAACACACTGAAGTTATGTATGGCTGATGGAATTTAAACTTATTATAATCCTTCTTCGGTACTCTTCTTACCACGGGCAAGGCCTTCCCTCTGATGCAGGTAAATATATTGTTGCTATTGTAACACACTGGAATGATTTTTAAGAGCTAACACATTCAGTAAAATGTTTTCAGCCTGACACTAAGCTTTTTTAAGTCCTAAATTCATTCTGTAGTCTTCTACCCTTACTTGTACTGTGGTGTATACCTTCAATGGAGCTGATGCTATCCTCCATCAAAGTACAGATATTTGATGATAGGGAATATCTGTGCCTGTGCTGTCAAATTTCTATTTAATACCAGGCAAGTCAGATAAATCAAGATGGAAAAACACCATTTTTTAAATTTCAATATGAAGCATTGATTGTGAGAAAAGTAGTTGCAATATTAGTAAGTGTATATCCAGGGTACATGAGAGCAATCTGTATTAAGTGAAGCCTATGGATACATATTGAGCAACAACAATATACCAAATTATTGAATAATTGTTTTTTTCAGTAGTTACTGTCTACTTGGTAGGAGGAAAATGTCTTATGTGTTGCTTTATCATATATGTAACAGGAGAGCTGAATTCAAATTTCACAGGCTTCTCATTTCATAGTGCTTGGCCTTGCAGCCTTAGTAATTTTTTCCTGTGTATTAAGTTTTTTATACAAACTGAGCTGCTTTCCCATTTCCAGCCCCAAAAGAAACTTGCTATATGCAAGTAAATAGAAGGAGAGCCTTGGCCTTTCAATGAGGTGACATGCTTATTTAGTCAGCTTTTTCTCTGTGTTTTGTTTTTTTCATTCCTATTTCAGCAGTCTCGACTTGGCACAGTAAGCTGCACTGCTGGCCAGCAGCCACAGCAGGAAGTTTTACGTTGTAAGATGTTTAAAACAGTGAATATATTCCTTTTGTTCAGGGATTGCAGCTCTTGGCTCTCTGCGTTGGACTCTTTCTGCCCCAGCACCCATTCCTTTGGCTTCTTAAACTTCATTTAAAGAAGAATGCAGATTCCAGGTGTGCCTAAATATTATTACCCAGCTTGTCAACTAGTCTTTCTGAAGTACCTTGTTTTCGGTCTTTCCTGTAGTGTATCAGATTTTTGACATATATTTTAAAATTAATTTGAGTAGAATTGCTACTAAAATATAGTACATGTTAATTCTATGCATCACTTGGGAAAGTTACCCCTTTTTTCAAAAAATACTCTGCAGTGGAACTCTTGACTGTATGTTGCAAAACCATGAAAACCAAAATATGACAGTTATTACACAACACACCCTGAGCCATGTTCATCTTTGGCACAGTTCTGCTGGCCTTGGTAGACTAATTCTCTTTCTAATTCCACGTGCAAAAAATGTGTTGGAAATCTCACAGTGTGAAATCTGAGTGCTCCTCCCATCTGGCATCCCCAGAGAGATTTAATCACAGTTTACTATCCTTTCAGTCAGTCCCCAAGAATTGCCTTACTTCTTTTTTTTGTCACAGGACTGAGTTTGGGAAATATGCGATCTATTGTCAGCGATGTGTAGAACGTACCCAGCAGAACGGAGACCGAGAAGCAAGACCTTCCAGGATGGAAATCCTTTCCACTCTTCTTAGAAATCCTTACCACCATTCGCTGCCCTTTAGTATTCCAGTTCATTTCATGAATGGCATATATCAGGTAATGTCATGTAGACCACAAAACCCGAGCTCTCCCAACCTCTGGCTGTTAGCATATACATGAAGTATTATATCAGGAAGAGAAATGTAAATGTTAAGGTAAACCTGGTTCAAGTTTCATCTTGTGCCAGTGCTAGCAATGGCAGGCACAAGGTACTTGTGATCTGATTTGATCAATGAAGAGTAAAGGTTTGGGGGAAAATCTTTAAGAGAAAATAAAAGAAGTAAAACCTCTTAAGAATGAAAAATAGCAAAGTTCTGTTTCTTATTTAACCTGACCACCAGCTGAATGAATTAGACTGAAGGAAAGGGAAAGGTATTAAATTCCACTTCCTTTCATCAGACATCTTGGAAGTTAAGTCAGTGAAGGCCTGGAAGCACAGCTTTAACTCCCATTATCAGTCATGAAGGATAACCATATTTGTTACAGAACAAACATAGCTTCATTCTTAACTCTTGTGGGACTTCATTAGTCAAAGCCTGTAGGAAACTTTTCACAGGCTTCCATGCATGCTGCTTCACATCCTGGTTTGTGTTTCCAACTGTGAGAGATGGCTGAAAAAATTTTTTTAACAATTCGTAGTATTCTTAGACATAAAGCAAGTTTTTATATGAAATCGAGGCTATATCAAATAAACTTTGCATTTCAGGTCACAGAAGAACTCTGCTTTTTTCACCACTAAGTTTCTTAATTGCTTACTGCTTCCTGCTTGCCCAGTAAAACAGAAAAAAACCAACATGTGTTTAAATCAACCTAAAAGGTTTCAAAATTGAAGTTTGGAGAAGAAAAGGAGTAATTGCTCATTAGTTATTTACTGGTCAAAATTGTATAGTTCCAAGGGCTAAGAAAGTTGTAACTAAATTGTAACTAATTGTAAAAATTGTAACCACATTTGTAAAAATTGTAATTAAATTACTAATGTCTAAAAATTACTAATTTTGTAAAAATTGTAATTAATTTAACTAAAAGTGTAACTAATTGTAACTAAATTACTTTAATGGAATTGGCAACTAAGCAATTATAGAGGTATTGAAAACTCCTGTATTCATCTCTGCAGCAGATTTTTATTTTAATGCTAGCCACTGAGAAGTACAAAACAGAAGTCCAAGATTGATTTTCAAGACATTTTTTACCAAGAGTAAAATTTTTTCACCAAGTCAAATACAGGAAAACACCCTCAATACAGATTTAAGTGAACATCAGCAACTGGTATCTGTATAAAAGCCATTTGCAATCTCTTGCTAAAATGCTTCAATACTAGTAACAACGGACAAAAATTCATATTTGGGGAAGTAAAACTTAGAAGGCTCTGTATATTACTGACCTATGTACTGCTGACAAAGCAACATTTGTAAAATATTTTGAATTTGCCAGAATAGATCTGCCATCTAATATCCCTCTGAAGTTGCACATGATGAAAAATTACTAACTGATCTCATTTGTTTCATCACTGTATTGAAAAGTGGAAGAAATCGTAGTCTTCTTAATTTTTCAAGTGGTATTTGTCACAAAAAGCGCAGATACTAGACTGATACCTGTTATATACATTTTGTAACAGAAATTCAAGTCTACAAGTGCAAAGAAACCACTATAAACAAAGAAAATAAACCCAAAAATATTACTTTTGGAAGCATTTTGGTAGTGAATTTGATTTGGTAAACAAAGTAAGATAAGGTACAATCTGCTGAGAAGTTAATAATTTTTGGATAGAGTAAAATTCCACTAAATTGACTTGCTATGTGGAAATCTTTTCCAGATCCTTTCTGGAAATTTTTAATTTTCAACAAGTTTCAGTAACTTATTCACAGAGCATAGAATGGGTCCTACAATCCCAATGTTATTGTAGAGGTATTATATTTCAAAATTTTCAATTTATGGAAAGGGGGGTATATAAGCTTGATAGCAAAATCCTTTTTGGCTACTTTTTTAGGTTGTTGGGTTTGATGCCTCTACCACAGTGGAGGAATTTCTGAACACCCTGAACCAAGATACAGGGATGAGGAAACCAGCTCAGTCAGGATTTGCACTGTTTTCTGATGATCCCTCTGGCAAGGATATAGAGCACTGTCTTCAAGGAAACATCAAGGTAAACAAAAGCCTTTAATGAGCTCTGCGTGTAAAAAAACCGAAGTATCTTCATTTGACAGAGCTCTCCTCAGGAAATGTAAAAGACAATATTTTTCAAGCTGAAAAATAGCTGTCTTTAGCTTTTTTCTCTTAATGTGAAAGGAAAGATTTTTTTTAAATCACTTTTTTAATTGCTTAAATTCATTCAGTTAGCTATACTTAAAAGCTAATAGGACATTGATATTATTCAGAGAAGTAACAGGTGAGTTAAAAAAAGTAAGCTGTTACTAATCACAGTTCTTTAAAACTAAATAGCAATTGGAGTCTAACATGGATTTAGAGATTTCAGTTAACATTTCTGATTTAGCTCCAGAAGATGACCATGTGAGGTCCAAGAAGACATTGACACTGGAGTGGAGATCCTGGGGAAGAAAAAGAAGAAAGGGCTCTTTATCTAAATACAGAACAATTTTAGGGTTCAGTTTAAGAAATTTCCAATGAAAGGCTTGTCATTGGTCTAAATTTTAGTTTCCTCTATTGCTAGAATTAAATTCTTTGCAGTAAAGAGTGAAAAAAATGCAATATAATCTGTGCTTTAATAAGGTGTTAGATATTTTTCAAGCCTTTTAGCAACTAATGAATAATGAATATTTTGTACTTCTACCAAAGTAGTCTTTTGCACTCTTTGGCCAGTGTTCACAGCTGCACTTTTGAGTTACAAGGTGCAATACAACCTGGCCTTAGTGACAAACAAACAGTTTGTCATCACAATCAGCCTTCTTCCTGTACCAGAAAAATTACCATCTGGAAAGCAGAATTCCTAAAAGATGTACTTATTTTCTAGGTAACTGAAACTTTAGAAGCTACTCACATTACTGCTTCCATGAAGGCTCTTTTATGAAGGAACAGTGACATGAGGTCCAGCAGGGCTCCTAGAACCTCTGTTTCACGTTCTCCCCATGTGCCCACCTGCCCTCCTGCACTGCTTGTTGTGAACCACTTCTGTTGTGTTTTATAACAAACTTCATACCAGCTTCATACCATGGCAGTTACTGGAAAGGACCTGAAAAATTCAGGCATGCAGCAGAAAGAGAAGGCAGAGATCAAAGGCATTTGATTAATTATATAACAACTCGCTGTGTATAATTACACATTCACTGGCTTCTGCTAAATCAAGTACCTGGCCTTTCCAAATAAGCATGTTAGGGCTCGCTTCCAACGTAGTATGAGTGTTTCAGGATAAGCAAACAACAAAAATGTTAATTATTAAATGTTCCAGCTAAGAAATGCAAGTGAAGTTATACTTCAGGAAGCTTAAAAATTCAAGCTATGTATGTTTCTGATATGTAGAGGATATTAAAATAAGTTGACAATTTCTATTCAAAGGTGTTTTCAAATAGGAAGACATGGCAAAGTCCGTTTTGTATTGCTTTCCTTCTAGATCTGTGACATTATTTCAAAATGGGAGCAAGCCTCCAAAGAACAACACCCTGGGAAATGTGAAGGCACAAGGACTGTACGCCTTACTTACAAAAATAGGTTTGTTTAGCAAGTATATCTCTGCCTTGTCCCCAGATTTGTTTTTTAGTTTCTGCAGTTTCTTCATCTGAAAAATATTGGCTGACTCGAAGCTTGCAACAAAAATAGTAAATGGGTGTAACTGCAGAATTTTTTTAATACAGTTCATTTTTTCTAGTCCTTAAGAGATGAGCAGAACTGAAAAAAAAAAAAAAGCCATAACTGAAATCAGAGGACTGAAATTAAATACTTGTCGAGTAGTTGAAGTGCAAGTGTTGTTCTGCTAATGTGTTTTGACGCTGACATAAACATGTCACATTCAGAGCAGATACTGCTAATCCTCAGGGCTAATGCATTTCCCTGTCTTCTTTATTTAATAACTTTCTGTCTTTTCTGTAGGCTTTATTTTTCAGTTCAAGCTCATGGGGAGACAGACAGAGAGAAGCTGCTGCTAGTATATCAGACAAATGATCAAATAGTCAATGGACTTTTCCCAGTAAACAAAGAATTAGCGATGGAATTGACAGCTCTTTTAGCCCAGGTAATCCTTATGCATGAGTGACTCACACAGCAGTTTTACAGGTTAAATACTTTAATAAGCAAACTGGTCCAGGATTGCTTGACCTCCACCTTTTTTATATGATAGTGCAGGAAACAGACTGGGCTCCTGGAATCTTGTGTAAGGCAACTCTGGATTTCAAGTGGAAATGCTTAAGAGCATAGGCTGCTGGGCCATCACTATGGATAAAACGTGCTTTACCTCTTACACAGTCAGGCCTTCTTGGATTAAATATCATGTAATCATGTACCATTTATTCATTCACTATTCCTTACATGGTTTCTGCAAGTTAATACTCCAAAGTAACAGCTGTTAATGAAAGTCTAAGACTCTTTTACTAGACATGGTCTTGATAAGATCTGTGTTATATTTAAAAAATTAAAATTTCAAAGGAAGGTTATTAAGAAAGTTACTTGATGTTGTTATTCAATAAATGTAAACTGATTTGTGTTAGCTGGAGATCTAGCAATCTCAGAGTAGAACTAGTATTATATTTGTACAATTTATATTTGATGTTTAACTTTTTTCCATGGGAAATAGAAAATAAGAAGATTACTTGCATAACTTTTATATTGGTGAAAAATTAATTGACAAACTGGTTTTCATCTTATACTTGGTAATACAGATTGAAAGACAGTCATAATATCCAGCTAGAAAATTACTCTGGAGTAACAAAAAATTTTCTTTATGGACATCCCATTAGGTAGAGATTGGAGATTTTGAACGGCCTTTCTCAACTCCAGCAGGGCAAGTTACTTCCCAGTCCAAGTCCAACCAAACATTAAAACAAGTTTTGGAGAGATTCTACCCTAAGAGATACAGGCAAGGTTGTTCAGAGGAACAACTAAGGTGAGATGTATTTTGTGATTCATATTCTCTAAAAATCTAGGAGTGAAACAAGGAAGTTTTAAATTGTCATTGGGTACAATTTACTCTTGTGCTATATTTGCCTAAACCTGTGTTTGAAACTCATTTTCTTGCTAAACTGAAGAACCCATTTCCTCTGCACGTTTCTAATCTAAAAAAAAAAGGACCATCATTAAGCACACATTCCAGCAAAAGCTGTACCAATTACTACACAGTGTTACAAAACCCAGTGATTTTGAAATTCTTATTTTTCTTTTCAGCAAATCTAAATTAAGTCTGTGCACAGACTAAAGAGTTACTATTCTAATGTGCAATCTCTGGCAGCCAGTCAGATTGGCAATATGTTAACTTAGTGGACTTGCTAGTAAGGTATCACTTAATTTACAATGAATAACCTTCAAGTCATTTGAATCAGCGCCTACGAACATGAAAACGAGCGAAACAGTGTCATAAATTATCCAAAGTCAGTGATACAGCAGTTTTGAAGTCCAGCAAACATCACAGAAATGTTTTCCTCATTCTTCAGTACAGAGATGAGAAAACTGAAAGCTATTATCATATGCACATAGTAACATTATTACATTCTCAGAAGACAACGTGGGCATTCAGATGTATATGCATAACAAAGAGAAATTTATGCAATTCATTTCAAAGAACAAATTATAAGAGGTCCTGGATTAGACTAATTCATTGAGGATAAGTCAGATATCTGTTGAACTGTTCAAGTAGTCCCTAAACTACCAGTTGGCAGAGCTGGAAGTCTGTGGCAGGGAAAGAATCACTCTATACCTGCCCTGTTGCTTGTATTCTTTTGCGAAGGGTGCGGTGCTGATCAGAAGCACCCTTTTTGGTAGCAGTGCACCCAAAAAAACCCAAACCCAAACATATCTTCCACATCTGCTACTAGCCACAGGTAGATATGTGCTAAGCTGGATGGATTTTTGGAATGACAACTGACATAGCTGTTCAGTACTGATAAAGGTAGATTGATTCTCTGTAGAGACACATTAAAAGCTGTCCCAGACTTTTTCCCTTTATGCTGCAACTGCTACATCAATATTTAATCATAACATTACAGAAATTAGAAGATACTTCATAACGTTCGTGTGCATTAAAATATTAAATGACACTTTGGATTTATTTAATACTGTATAAGTGATAGTTGTTGTATTAACTTAAATTATCATTTTAACAAATGCATTATTTTTTTGCTCATTAAACTCGCTATGGGGAAGCATTTAAATTCCTTTCAATAACTAAATTACATACTTCATTTCAACAGACAGCTTTGTCAGCGATTGTCTACGAGATGGATGGCTCTCCGGGGGCACAGTGCTGCAGACTGTGTGCGCATTTATCTCACTGTAGCCAGGAAATGGTCCTTCTTTGGTGCCAAACTGTTTGCAGCAAAAGTAAGAAACTTTACTGAGTTCGAGTGGTGGGGGTTTTAAAGATAAATATAATTTGCAAATAGTAACACCTTTTTGTTGAAAACAGTTGTGTTGTATATGAGGTGATTGGATCTCTTGTGAAATTACTGATTTGTTTAAGTCATATACTGGTGAAATATAATAGCTGTAGTACAAAGTATACCATAATAGTAACTTTCCAATACACTTATTGCTTGTTTGACATTATTAATCTAGGTAATATCATTCAATTTCCTTATATCTTAGCTTGAGATAGCTTTTTAATGTTAGACTTTTTTACCTCATAACTGGTAGAACACTGAAAAGATATTAACTGGCTACGAAAGCTGAACCTTGCAGAAGCACTGAGTGTTGTTAAGGGTATTTAGAGCACTCCCTTCTGTCCTGGCCTCTCTCAATTTCTCTTAAACCTTAAGAGTATCTTAATTCCCTTGATTCAAGTGACATCTGTGTTAAACAGAACTGTCACCTCATGCCTTATGTTTTATTAGGTAATCCCATTGTATCTATTATGTATATGTATATGTATATGTATATGTATATGTATATGTATATGTATATAAAATTGCTTATTAGCACTCCATTCTTTGTTTATGTACACATATGAGCTAATGAAAAAACGTTAACACCTGCCTTTTACTTTAACAAAGAGACTATACATTTTATTGGTCTGAGCACCAGGGGAGGCTTCAAGAGTATTAGGTTGAGTTCATAATTCTGCCACTGGCTGCCTACATGGCTTTGGGCAGCTGTTTCAATTTCTTTTCTGAAATTTACCCTGAGAGGGAACTGATGTAAGATCTGTAGATGGAGAGAGGTCTATAATAGATGAGAGTTAATAATTATACACATTGCTTCATTTTGAAATAGTAATTAAAGAACATTTCTCTTTGTAGCCTCTGTCAATGTCCTCAGATGACAAGTCCTTCATATGGTTTGCTGTACATGAGGATGGCATAAGCATTCTGGATTACAGTTCTATGGTAAGTGAAATTTCTGTTTTAATTTTGGTCAAAGTAGATTTTAGTAGAGTATATGAGGAGATATACCAGCATACTACATAAAAGATGGCATTAGCCTTCCATGCTAAGTTATCTAGTCTTTCCCTTAAAGCAAAAATTCCTTCCTTTCAAAATGTTATAATGTTATCGTCATTATAATAGCACTAACAATAGAAATAAGTAATGAATTATTTGCACGGAATTTATTTTTGTTTATCAGATACAGTTTTTATATAATTTAATGAAATGTTAATGTTTTAATCATTCAGATGTCAGGAGATCCATAGTTACAGTTCTTAAAATAACATTAATTTTCTTTTCCTGGAGACTTCATTTTCCAATATTATTCCTAATACATAGACTCTGCAAAGAGCAGTTACTTTAAAAGATTGTTATTTTCATTGTATTATTTTTGTTTAATAGTAGGTAATAAAACCCAGTGTTATTTAACTATGTCATTTTTGGCTCTGATTTTTCTGATTTTTCTTTGATTTGCAATACAAGTTTTTGCAAAAAACTCACGGTAATCAGTGAAAAAAAGCAGTGCCTGAGAAGATCCCTGCTTCCATTTATATCCTGCAAAGAAACAGAATGGCATGGTGCTATTAGCAAGTGCTAATATTGAATATCAGAAAATTAAAATCTCAGCTTTATAATTGTACTGATAGAGGCCTTTTCATTACATTT